TATTTTGTCCTTAACTGGGCCTAAAGCCCCGACGCGGCCGCGGCACGGCTGGCAGCGACGCGGGGAGGGAAGAAAGGGCGACAGACGGGTGTGTGAGACCATCAGCCCGAAAGCAAAGGCGTCTGGGCTTTTAAATGATGCTCAACAACAGCAGTCCGGCCAGAGGCCCTTTGCGGCCCTTCCCAGCAGCCGTCACCTCAGGAGAAGGCAGCCAGCCTGGCAGTCGAAGAAGTACTGCTCTGCGGTGCCAGGAACTTTGGTATTAAGACAAGTTCCCAAAATAGACTGTGACACAACAGAAAGTACCATCTCCGAGAGACTGTTTTGTGCACATTTGCTGAAAAACTACATTGGTCTATAAAATAAGGTTCGTAACACTCTACAACCCCCGCTGCTCTGTCCTCCTTCAACGAGCGTGAAATCCTATGTCCTTAACAAAACTCACTGGCCCCAGACCTCCTGCATTTCCAGGGGCACGGGGCTTTGAGCAGCTGCTGTGCCAGCCAGCGGGACACAGCGCGTGCCCCAGACAAGCCCCCAGCTGCAGCGTGCGTCCCAGCCGGGATGCCTCACCCACTCCCTAACCCTCCATGCCATCGTGGAGCTGATGCAGATGTACTTTCCATTTGAAAACTAGATCCTTTTTCCTGGTGCAGAAGGGAGAACTGACCTGGAATCCCCTTACGTTCCCCTCCGGTCCTGCATGCCCACAGCTAAGGCAGGACCCGGTCTGCCTGACTGTACTTTGCAGGCAGCAATTCAACATTGCCGAGAACTTTAGTTTTCATCAGTAACTAGGAGGATGGGCGGAAAGAGGAGTCTCACTTTTCCCTCATAAAACCTAGTATTAAGAATAAAACAAGATTCAAGCTGAAAATTACATTTCCTAAGAGCCTAAGATACTTGAAGACTTTTTCAGTCCCAGCAGGTAATTTATTGCAGTGCTATGAAGGTTTCAAGCAATGTCGTTTACTTTTTCAGACTGGAACTGCAAGGTCTTTCTTACCAGCATCTCTACTCGCAGCAGATCTGAGCTTTGGCATTACTGCTTGAAAAAGGCCTCCAAGGACAGGTGGTCACCCACCACCAAAGTTCGAAGCCACCACCAACCCCCCCGCCGCTGCCACCTCCACCTCCTCCAAAGCCACCTCCACCAGCTCCACCAGGTCCTTTGGGTTCTGTTGGGGAAAAAAATGCCCCACGTTAGGCAGAGAAGCAAGACTAATCCTGCAAAGTCATCTCTTTCATTAGAGAAGCGCTTGTAGCTGGGGAAAAATGGATGAGCTGTCAAAACACACAAATCCTTTTTCAGGTGTGATCATCACAGCTACCATCACCACCACTGCTGCACCATGGAAGAGGCGGTGCAATAAACATTGCCATTGTGTTTTATTAAGCCATCGCTTTCCTTTAGTCTGCTCTGGACTGGAAAGCAGAGGAACTATGGAGAATTTGGAACTGAGCATGGATGGGACCTCTGAGCATATCATATTGTCTTTGTTAGCATCTTTGCACCTGCTTCCCATTTCTTCATACCTTTGTTCTCTTATCCTTCCCCTCCACTTCTCTACAAGCAAACTGGGAGATGGGGCAATCTCATGGGAAATGAGGAAGGAAAGAGGAAAAAAGAGGTGTCCTTCCTCGTGGAGGTGTCTCTGGTGATTGCTTCTGGGAAGGCACAAAACTCTGTCACTATTGATGACGTTGCAACATATCTACTGATTTAAACAAAGCCTAGTGGAGAAAGAGATTTCATTTCTGATTACTTCCATGTAGGTCCAGAAATGCAGTGACAGGATCATTAGCTGCTGATTTTTCGAATAGGCGGGAATTCTTTTATCAGCCCCCCCGCCATTTCTCTCTAATGCCATTGCTTCTGCTGTGACAACACTGAGATGCTGAAAGTAATAGGAAAGTGTGTCCACAACTACAAATACAGGGAGGAGCCCGGTTCAGAGCATCACTGCAAAATGAGCAGGCCCACAGGTTGGCATATCTGTGGAGATCAGCTCTCGGATGACAGGCTACATGGCTGAGGATCAGTTGCGTAATTTCTTGGCATCTTGATTTCCACAGCTTTGGGTGGGTAAAAATTTCACTGACTTTATAGTAATTAAAACCTGTGGATGAAAAGCACTTCTAATAATCCCACCCAGGAAAAAGGAGGAATAATGTGTTCGTGGGGGAATGTTTCGCATCCTCCTGCTCTTTTCCTAAGCACGCTGGCTCAGTTCAGCTCTGACTCACAGAGGGTGTGAACCTCTGGAGAAATGCTGCTACTATGGTTTAGTCTTTCGTCATGATTTGTTAATTCATGTAAACAAGAAAATAGGCCGCACCATTTAAATCTTACTGTTTACCCCTCCTGTAATCCTCTTAATGCCTTTCTCCAGCTCATTACAATAGCTTAAATGTGTAACTTTGCTTTCAGAGATAATATTTGAGTGTTTACAAACTAAGTACCTGGCTGACTGCAGGACTGTATCTATTTTTTTAATTATTCTTCTTTGGTCACACTCTTTCCTTGTTTCCTCGTCATCTTGCTATCACAGTCCAGCCTTTAATTGCATGGCCAGACCCGGACTGAGTTGCATCCCATTTGCTAACCAGTCTGTAGAAGTGCCTTCTTCCCCTAGACAATAAACGTAGCGGGCCCTTGTTGCTCCCTCTTCTCCTGTCCCTGTCCTGTCTTCCCAACACTTCTGCCACATGGGCTTTTCCAGCCTCCTCTCAGCACCCGCCGAGACGTACAGTGAGACACAGCAGCAGCTCAGCTGGATGGAGACCTTGTCTCTATGCAGGCAGGTGGAGCTGCTGCCTTGTGCCAGAGCCCCTTTGGGCAGCCTGCCTGTTCAGACAGAAAGAGAACTCCCCTGCGTCGCCCCAGGAGCGGCAGAACTGCAGGCAGCGGTGACACGCAGGTGGGGCTGGGGTTCCTGGCTCCGGTTTTGCTTTACATGGTACTGTGGCCATTAACAAGCCAACGGTGTCGTGCCAGGGGTGCCTTTATTTTCATACTGCTTATGCAAAAGTAGAGTCTGAAATTCCACTTTATTCTCTGTGCTCTCCTTAGTCTTGATGGGGGTTTTGGTAGCCTGATCTGTGGCAGCTCCTCGGCAGAGCTCCTAGTAGGGTTTGCATCGTATTCCGATTTAAGCAAATGAGAAAATTAATTGCTGTATGAGAGTAAGCAAACAAATTAACACTGGCATTTCATAAGCAGTATGTGATGGCTGTCTTGGGCACACCAATCATGAAGTGACAGAGTTTTTGATTCTCGGAGAAGGAGGGGGGTCAGCAGAACTGCCACCTTGGACTTCTGGAGGGCAGACTTAGGCCTGTTTGGGAGCCTGGTTGAGAGAGCCCCTTGGGAGGCAGTCCTGAAGGGCAAAGGGGTCCAGGAAGGCTGGACACTCTGCAAGGAGGAACTCTCAAAGGCAGAGGAACAGGCCGTCCCCATGTGCCGAAAGGCAAGCCGGCGGGGAAGACCAGCCTGGTTGAACAGAGAGCTTTGGCTGGCACTCAGGAAAAAAGGAGAGTTTATGTCCTTTGGAAGAATGGGCAGGCCACTCAGGAGGACTACAAGGATATCGTGAGGTTATGCAGAGAGAAAGTTAGAAGAGCCAAAGCCCAACTAGAACTTAGCCTAGCTACTGCCGTAAAAGGCAATTAAAAATGTTTCTATAAATACATTAACAACAAAAGGAGGGCAAAGGAGAATCTCCATCCTTTATTGGATGTGGGGAAACTTAGTGACAAAGGATGAGGAAAAGGCTGAGGTACTTCATGCCTTCTTTGCCTCAGTCTTTAACAGTAAGGGAAGTTGTTCTCTGGACACCCAGCCCCCTGAGCAAGACGACAGAGGTGGGGAGCTGAATGAAACTCCCAAAATCCAAGGGGAAATGGTCACTTGCTACGCCACATAGACACACACAAGTCTATGGGGCTGGATGGGATCCACCCCAC